TTTGCTAACAAAATGTGATCGTATTTTTACTATTTTACAGTATTATTTAATGATATCTTTCTTACATGAATTTAATGTCTGCATATTATTTCACATTATGGAGAAGTAAGGAGCATAAGATTCAGCTTTGATGTAACATTTGAATGTTATCAGACCACTTAAAATTCTAGGAAGGAGTGATCGTGTGAATGATTCAAGTTTTCTTTTTATATTCCAGCATTCTCCAAAATTGTATTTAGAAAAATTGATGGAAGAGAGATTTTAAAAATCTGTTGATTTATATTATAGTCATACTTTATCTGTTCCTTATCATTGAGCAATGATGAGCCTGGTTCAATACTGTAACCCTTATTTTGTAGTATAAATTCCTATACGTGGAATTTCCAGAGGAAGGAGTCTGTACATGTTTTAAAAAGTTTTAGTAGATATTGCTAAATTGCCCTCTAAAAATTTGTTTCAGTTTATACTGTAGATTTGCATGAAAGCATCTGTTTAGAATGTTTTTGAGAAATTAAAATTGATCAAGATGACTTTTTAAAAAACGAAAAGATTAGAAGTTATTTGCTGCAATATTCTTTTGTCAGTGTTTTTAAATGGAGATAGTACTACCAACCTTTAGAATTGCTCCTTATTATGTCAGTAATGCTTGATTTTACCATTATATCTGTTACCTATACCATTGTTGTACATCAGAGTCTCTATAAAAGATCTCATGAATGTGGTGGCAATCATTTTGACTTACACTCATTGATAATACAAATGGGAAGATCCACCTGTTTTTAAAGATATATGTTATTTATCAAAGGTTAGTAACTTAATCAGAAGTTAACATCATATTTAGCTGGTATTTTCATATAAAAACAGACACTGAAAAAGATGCATTTGCTTACAAACAAAATCCGTTGCTAAACATTGCCTAACAGTTTAAAAAGTCTAAATTTTACAGGTTATACGGTTTTAATATATAGGTTAAAAAGATAATATTAACATCTGGATGTATTGTGTTTATCTTTTATCTACTAATTAGTAAATTTGAGTGCCAATTAAGTTGGAAGTAATGGCAAAAGAAATGTTATAGTCATTAGCTCATAAGTATCTTTAGTAGTTTATAGAAGTGCTTTCCAAACATTACAAACAGCTATAGATTAGCTATCAAATGATTGTGAAGATTAATGACTAGTCTTTTAGTTGGGTCATTTAGAACAATATCTGGCAATTAATTGGAAATTATCAGTTTTAAAGTCACAAATATCTTAAGGAAAACAGCATCCAAAAAGATAATACTGATAATTGTTCAATTGCAAGTTAGCTTTTAGACCATTGGATAAATTAAATTAAGGGCAAATTTGAAAATCAACAGACTTTAGAATTTTAAAAGCATTTCAGATTCTGAAGGTAAATGCTTTTCTATCCATGGTTTTATACTCTGACTATTAATCAAGTATGAAGTGAGAATAAATACTTTTTCAGATATTTGAGATCTCAAAACATTGAAACAAAGAAACATATACATCCTTTCTTAAGGCACTGCAGGATATTGCACAAAAGGAGAGAATAATACAAAGAGAAAGAAATGAAATATAAGAAACAAGAGACAACATAGAATAGAGATGAAGGGGATCTCCAGGACTGTTTTAGAAAGGGAGATCCCAATAGCAGCTATGTAGTAGACAGATGACAGTCCATCTGGACTGGAGCAGTTTCACTCAGGAGAGGGGGACCTGTATTCTTATTAGGAGTACTTAGCTTGCTTGCCTTCATCATGTGCTGATTAAATTCCTGTTTTCCTGTCTAATGTGAATCACCTGAAGATTCTTACTTCACTCCACAAAAACATGCTGTGCTTTGACCCACTTCTTAGGGTAGAGGTTCACCATGGTGAGCTTAGAAGTGAAAACTATAAAGTATTTTATGCCAATACACTCTACCTGGCATACACCACCTCTGATTCTCCAGTTCTCTTGACCTCTATATTTCCTGTATTTCCTAATGACTTGCCTATAAGACTTCCCAGAAATAGCTTTACATATTCTCTCAAATCAGCTGAAGCCTTGCTGCAACTCACAGATTCTGTGTATCTTGTCTTTTCTTGGGAGCCTCACTTGTGGCAGTATTGCTCTTTAAAATACAATTGACTAGATTTGTGTTAGATGTAGTTTTTTAAACTAAACATAATGGATAAGTTTAGTATATAGACAGTAAAACTGTCCTTTAAAATTATCTCCCAAAGCTCTGTCCTCCAGGTAAAACTGTAAACAGTGAACAACAGAAATATCAGGATAGTGATTTCCTTCTGATTGTAGTGGAGAAGTAGGGAGTACAGTTTGGGCAGGGCACGTAGGGGAATTGTGAGGTACTGGTAATGTTTTACTTCTTGACATGGGCGATAGGTATGTGAAATAAAAAAAAAATTGTTATTTCTTAACCTGTACATATAAATTACATGCACTCATGTTTATTGATCCATTGTATAATACGAATTCTAAAAACCTTTAATATAAATAAAATCAAAGCAAATGATTATTGAAAACTAAAGTCATTCTATAACACAGGCTATTGTAGAAATAAATGGCCTATTTTCAAAATGACCGTGAGGTTGGTAATATGTAACTTGCTTTCTTTTGATAATGATAATTGTTTATTCATGCAGAAATGCTCTCTCTAAAGTCAGTTTTCCCAAAAGTAGGCTAACCAGTCCTTTTTTTTTTTTTTTCCAGGCTGGAGTGCAGTGATGCTATCTTGGCTCACTGCAACCTCCGCCTCCTGGATTGGGTTCAAGCAATTTTCCTGCCTCAGCTTCCCGAGTAGCTGGAATTACAGGTGTGTGCCACCACGCCCAGCTAATTTTTGTGTTTTTAGTAGAGACAGTGTTTCGCCATGTTGGCCAGGCTAGTCTCAAACTCCTGACCTCAGGTGATCCGCCCGCCTCGGACTTCTAAAGTGCTGGGATTACAGGCATGAGCCACCATTCCCAGCCACTGATCTTTTAAAAAGGGAAATCAGATTGTCTTCCCTACACTCTTAATTCTCAAACGGCTCTCTTAGAATAACATACAGTCTTTAACACGGTCTATAATGTTCTACAATCATAATCTAGCTCGTGGCCACATCTTTGACCTCATTTTCTTTAGTTCTCAGTTTATTGCTTTATTATTATTCATCATACATGACAAGCTTATTTCAGCTCCAAAGTCTTTGCACTTGTTCTTCTTTGCCTCAAACTCTTTTCTTTTTACATGGCTTGCTCTCTCTTTTATTCTTGCCTTTGTTCAAATAGAACAGAGAGGCCTGCTGCAGTTACACTAGTAAATACACCTTCTCACCTAGACTGTCATCACAGTTCTTCTCTGTGTACTTCCACCTCCCTTCGAAGCTCTTATTACTATTTGACATTATCTTACATATTCGTGTGTTTATCTTCTGATACCTTCATTAAAATATAAGCTCTATGAAGTCAGGAACAATGTGTTCATCACACAATGCCTGGCATGCTACCGATGTTCTGCAAATTTTTGTTAAATGAATATGAGGAATTGGTCAATTAAAATACAGAACCCGTGTCAAATAAAATATTGTCATTGTGAATGTAAAAGAAATGGATGTTTTGTTAATGTGATTATATCATTTTACTGTTTAGTGAGGGATACATGCATTTATTGTTGAAATATTATAAAAAGATTTCTAAGTTTTAGAATTAACAACATAGTTACAATTAGGAAAAATACAAATATTCACAGGAAAATATTTATTCCTGGAACGTTTTTGTTTTTAGGTATATCACATGGCATGAATGTTCTGTATATGTCATGAGTAAAGGCGAGTTAATATCAATAGAAGGAACTTTTTGCATTGAGAGTCATTTTTACTTTTGTTTGCTTTTCATCTATGTGTATACTCTTGTGATTCAATAAGGCCTATTGATGTTTGTGGATAAAAAGATCAGCTTTTCTTCCTTGATTGTCCTTCCGTCCTCTTATACTATGGCTCAATAAAGATTTATTCAATGAATGTTCAGCTTACTCTATATAATAATGTAGATTACAGAAACAAACACTTTTGGGATAAATAAACTATAATTAGGCTTATACTTTCTGCATGTGTTATAGTTTTTTCTGGCATTTTTGTTGCAAGAGGTGATGGGGGGGGGTTACCATTGAAACACCAATGGAAATCACATGTTGGTGGATATGAGATAATCCTTAGAAAGATTTTAAAAATTCTAAATCTTGTGACATTAACAAGTACAGCACTCTCTAAAAAAAAAAAAATTTGCTTTTTCAGTTTTTTTTCCATTTGGGTAAAAGGCAAAGCATGATATAGGAACGTTCATGGTGCCTAATATATATAATAGTCGCTCAGATATAAATGGAATGAATAGATGTATGGATGGATCAATTGAAACATTCAGACTATTTTCGACCAAACTTTGGAAATTATGGTTAACCTTTGGAGGAAGGGCTGGATCTTTTTTCTCCCATTGCTAAAAGAATTTGTTTTCATTAGTTTAGTGAGATAATGATTTTGTAGCTTAATAGATATATATAGAGCTACTGTAATGGTGAGCATAATTAATTGATATTTTTAATCTCTCCTGCGGACAAGTCCTGGGGAAATTGGTATTCATAGCAGTTGAAACAAGTGTTATCCAGTGCATAAAGCACTTCCCAATAGTACATACTTAAATTCTGGTACAAGTTATGGTGGCCAGTAGAATAGTGTATCTTTTTCCTATACATCTTTAATAATAGGCTAAATAATTATGTTCTTCTTGTGGTTTCATGCTATGCTACTTGTTAACATTAAAATTGGCTGTAGTTTTTAATGAATATTTAGATTTCTGTGACTGACTTACATTTATCATTCTACTAAAATAAAATATAGGAAAATTACGTTTTATTGTATTATATAAAATATGTATTTGAAAATTATTTAATTTTATATTTTGTATTCTGTGTTCATTTCTCATGCATATTTTAACTGAATGTATATTTTTCACCTAGGTCACTTTTGAAATACACAGAGAAAACCTTGCCAATATATTTAGGGAACAGCAAGGAAAAACTGATGAAGAAATAGGACTGTGTTCTTCAACTTCAGTTCAAGCAGCCTCTGGCATTAGAAGGGATGTTAACTTTTCAGTAGGATCCCAGCAACCAGGTACGAAGGATTCTCCTGTCTATCCTCATTTCACCACAAACGGTAATGAAAATTCAAGTATAGAGAAGACAAGTTCACTAGAATCTGCATCTAATAGTGAACTGCAAATTACTAATGCATCTTATGAAGAAATGAAAGCTGAGCAAGAAAATCAGGAGTTACCAGATGAGGGCACTTTGGAAGAGACACGGACAAATGAAACAAGGAATGCAGGTGATTTAGAAGTATCTTCTGACTTAATAGAAGCTGTGACTATTTCCTCTAATTCTTTTATAACAACTGGCAAAGATTCAATGACTGTCAGTGAAGTAACTGCTTCTATAAGTTCTCCTTCAGAAGAGGATGCTTCAGAAATGCCAGAATTCTTGGATAAGTCTGTAGTAGAGGAAGAGGAAGACGATGATTATGTGGAACTGAAAGTAGAAGGCAGTCCTACTGAGGAAGCTAATCTACCCACAGAGCTCAAAGATAACAATTTGTCTCCAGCTGCATCGAAAGCCAGTGAAAAACTGGACATGTTTGGTGATGATCACAAATTAGTATTTCAAGAAGGAAAACCTGCTGCTGAAAAGCAAACTGATACTGAAACTCAAGATTCTAAAGATTCTGGAATTCAGACTATGACAGCATCAGGGTCTTCAGTTATGTCACCAGAAACTACTGTTTCCCAAAAAGCTGTAGAATCAGACCTTGGTCAGATTCTGGAGGAAGGGAAGAAAGCAACTAACCTCACTGCAGAAACCAAATTACTTAGTGATTGTCATGGTAGTGTCTCTGAGGCTTCTTCTTCTGAGCAAAAGATTGCCAAGTTGGATGTTTCCAGTGTTACTACAGATACTGAGAGGCTGGAGTTGAAGGCCAGTACAAACGTGGAAGCACCTCAGCCTCATCGACATGTGCTTGAGGTGATTTTATATATTGTCGACTTCAAGTATTTTTGCACTGACTTAAAAAAGAGCATGTGTACATACTTAAATTTATTTTATTTTGAATTTGGTTCACATGCTATTTGCAATTAAATGCAGTGAATGTGAAGATTGTATTTCAGATCGTTAGCACAGTGTTTGACAGTGAATGTGAGTTCATTAAATGACAGCTTTTATTATTATTTTTACCATAGCCTCAGCAAAAGTTACCACTTTGAAGGATTGGTATAATTTTAGTTGATAAAACAAATATTGGAAACACTTGCATTTTAGCTTTTATTTGACTAACCCAATCCTAGTACATTAGTTTTCCAGCAAACTCTAGGGCCACCTACCTGCCAGTGTATAATTTTAGTTGCCAAGCATGTGATTTAGAAGTGTCTTAAGAAGTCTATAAGAGAGAGGAGTCTTTGTGAGATCTAGAGGCACAGCCTTCTCCTCTGTCTGTATCTCAGAGTGACCCATGAGACAACGCTTGGTAGCATGTTGTCATTTTCCACTTTATTCAATTCTTATCCTCTATCCCGCCTTCCTTTTTTTTTGTTTTTGTTGGTTGGTTCTTCATTATGTTATCTCTGTTTTTATTCTTCATTCTAGCCACTTCATAATCCAGATGCCACTTAGATTTTAAATACTGTCTTTCTTTTAGGCTAAGGCTAAAAACTAAGAACTGTTACTTGATTCCTTTATAAAATGCTACATAGTGGTAATACTTAACGTGGTTCCAAGCTAATTACTTTCGAATTGCGGTAGTTTCGCACTTTTGATAGCTTTGCTTACATATACTAAAATATTAATGTTATTACTCATTGATAATTTTTCTCTCTCTAATTTGGTTCTTATAGTGTCTTAAAAATGTGTTAGATGCATTGCATAGAAGCTACTAAATTATTTACTTTGCTAAAGCCTCCTGCTGAAGTTGAACCTATTTTATTACTTTTTAAATTTTCTGTATTAGATATCAAGGCAACATGAGCAGCCAGGGCAAGGAATAGCACCAGATGCAGTTAATGGACAAAGGAGGGATTCCAGATCTACTATGTTTCGTATTCCTGAGTTCAACTGGTCTCAGATGCATCAACGTTTGCTCACTGATCTATTATTTTCAATAGAAACAGATATACAGATGTGGAGAAGGTTTGTCTATATGTTTATTATGGAAGATGTTTATAAACCTAGTCTTGATTTTCAAAGAAATCTATAGAAACACTTTGTAATTAATTCCAGACATTTGGTTAAAAAGTAGAATAGAAATTATTCTGTGGTAGGGTTTTACTGAATTAACTTTTATTCTCCATTATAAGAATGGAATCCTTATCTGGATTACAAAAATGAGAAAAGTAGAGGTTTCTCTTTTAAAAAATCTGTAGTAGGTTTCCTGTAGCAATTTTATGGCATGTAATTCCCCAGAAGGTAGGTCTATCAAACTGGTTTATTACTAGAAGTATTAAAAAATAATTGGTATAGGCCGGGTGCAGTTGATCAAGCCTGTAATCTCAGCACTTTGGGAGGCTGATGCGGGCGGATCACAAGCTCAAGAGATCGAGACCATCCTGGCTAACAAGGTGAAACCCTGTCTCTACTAAAAATACAAAATTAGCTAGGAGTGGTGGTGGGCGCCTGTAGTGCCAGCTACTTGGGAGGCTGAGGCAGGAGAATGGCGTGATGAACCCGAGAGGTGGAGCTTGCAGTGAGCCGAGATTGTGCCACGGCACTCCAGCCTGGGCAACAGAGCGAGACTCTGTCTCAAAAAAACAAAAAATTGGTATAACATTATCAATATTTCCAGTGTATTTTTAGCCTTAAAAAAACCGGGGAACCCAAAATAACCCCCAATGGAAGATTTATGATTTTAAAGGTACCTAATTTATTTCTTTTTGTGTAAGATTCTTGTTACGTTTAAAGGCATTTTATAGGCATTACAGAAGAATATTCATTTTTAGTAGCACATTTACCACTATTTACCTCATAATTTTTGTCACATGATTTCTTAGTTTTGTTCCTAGTTAGGATAATTTTCTTCAACTTTTGATATCCAGTGTAAAATGAATAGTATTTATGTTTCAGCACTGAAGGAGGGCATGGATAGTAGCTACTGATATGGAATGGTCTGTTTCTTCTGAAGAAGTATACACCCCCCAAATGCCTGCTGCGTCATCTTCCTTCAGTTTTCAAGATGAAGCAAAAGCACCTTCTTATCTTCCCTCCCCTCAAGTAGGCAAACTGTGATTTCCTTCCTTTAGCTTTATCAGTAAACATCATTTATCTTTGGACAGCCATTCAACAAAGACAGTTATGGACTTCGTGAATAGCAGTGATAATGTCATCTTTGTACACAACACAATTCATCTCATCTCTCAAGTGATGGACAATATGGTCATGGCTTGTGGGGGTATACTGCCATTGCTTTCAGCTGCTACATCGGCTACAGTAAGCACTTAATTACTATATAAAATTGGTGTGAAAACATAAGTGTTATGCAACTTTATTGACTAAAACTTAAATGTGGTGGTTACTGTGCATCATAGGTGCTACAAATAAAAAACAATAGGATCTTTTACTTGAGAGGACCTTAGAATCTGTTCTAGTAATGAAAGAACTAGAGAGAATGTTGATTCCCTAAGTATGAGTCAGGTAGTGAAGAATATAGTTCATGGTGTTTCACCTGTATGTTTCTGTTGCTCCTCCTCATCCCCCACCCTTTTTAGATGAAATAATAAGTATAAATCACTCTGTGTTACTAGGTTTCTGAAAGTCTGACTTCTTATACAATTTATAAAATTTAGGACTATATCTGGTAAAATTATTTTTTTTCAGAATATGTATATATATAAATGTCAAACTGTATTCTTTACAGCATGAACTGGAAAATATTGAACCTACTCAAGGCCTTTCAATAGAAGCCTCTGTGACATTTTTGCAGAGGCTAATTAGCCTTGTGGATGTGCTTATATTTGCAAGTTCTCTTGGCTTTACTGAAATTGAAGCTGAAAAAAGTATGTCATCTGGAGGAATTTTGCGGCAGTGTCTCCGACTAGGTGAGCTGTTAAAAACCGTTGGGAATTTACTAAAAGAAATTTTCAGTAATTCAGAGATGACACTGAAAATTATCCATCTTCTGTTGGTGAGAAGATATGTGTTAGCTAATTTGTCGTATGTTACTTTTTAATGTACTTTTTAATGTACATAGTAGTAGTTGGTAGGTTGGATGGGGAAGAAGGAGGATGTATTTTGAAAAATTTACTGAGGTGATTTTGGTCAGGAGTTTCTACTCTCCCCTATCCTTTTAATTTTTATTATTTTTTCTTTTTTCTCCCTGGGATGGTGGTTCTGCTTTGTTGCCAAGGCTGGTGTCAAAATCCTGGGCTCAAGTGATCTCGCTTCCTCATCCTTCCTAGTAGCTGGACTTAGAGGTGCTCTCCTATCTCATTTTGGTCTAAAGTAGTGCTTCTGAAATTTTAAGGAAATACATAAACATAAGATGATTAAAAAACACAAGGTGATTCATAAATTTGATGATCTTGTTAAAATGCAGATTAGATTATATAGGTCTAGGCTGGGTGTGGTGGCTCACACCTGTAATCCCAGCACTTTGAGGCCAAGGTGGGCAGATCACCTGAGGTCAGGAATTCGAGACCAGCCTGGCCAACATGGCGAAACTCCATCTTTACTACAGATACACAAATTAACCAGGTGTGGTGGTGCACACTTGTAATCCCAGCTACTTGGGAGGCTGAGGTAGCAGAATCGCTTGAATCTGAGAGGTGGAGATTGCAGTGAGCCAAGATCGTGCACTGCAGCCTGGGCAACTTAGCAGGACTCTGTCCCAAAAAGAAAAGGTGATAGAGGTCTAGGGTGAGGCCTAAAATTGACTACCAAGTCCCAGGTGATGTTGATGCTGCTTCTCTTACAAACACACTTGAATAACAACATTAGAAACTAGCATCATTCAAGTACAGCCTTTATTCAAAAAAGCTGTGGTAAATTTGTTAAAGCAGTTAAAAAAATCATGAAATCTCTCTTCTTCTCTTGGAAACACTTCTTCCCTAGGTAAAAGTAAAAATACATGGACTTTTTAGTGTTAACTGGACTTCTTAGGTGAAACAAAAAGGAAAAAAACAAAAACTTTTTTTGCATAACTTTCCTTCTATATAGTTGTAAATACCGAGACTTTGTTAAATGATTTGATTATTAAATGAAGAGAAAATGGTGAGGAGAGAAGTCACAAAAAATGGAAGCAAACCGTTAGGAACCATGGTCATATGAAGAGATAAAGCACCTATGAAAACATACATGGAAGTGGAAAATCTAGTTAATGATGTATTTTTCGTATTTAACAAGAATATCTGTTACATAAACTAATGTATACCTGTGCTTTTCACCACAAGTGTAATTTTTACTCAAAATAATATTCAAAGTATTTAATAGTATTTAGTTTAAATGTAAAATTCCAAGTATTTTATATTTAATAATCAATGGTATATCCAGCTATTCTAAATAACTTGGAATAACAATTTATAGATAGTTGTTTTAAAATTTAAGAGACATTCTAATTGTGAACATAACAAAAGCTATCATTTATTGACTATTGTCATTTGTCATTGTTGATTTTCACAGTGACAATTTTGTCCTTTTTATTCATGAGGAAATTGAAGATAAAAGAAATTGGGAAACTTATCTATAGCTAAAAAGCTCTAATTGGTGAAGGTAGAATTTGAATACTATACTTTTGTCTAACTAGTGCTCCTACTCTATTGTAGTATATACTTCTTTAATCTTTCTATTAGTATTATAATTAAAATATTTAGACTTTATTGCTCCACGTGTGCCGTTTTCCAAGCCTTTTCAATTTCCTAGAAAGAGTACATTTCTAGAAGTAAAAGTACAAGGCTATACTAGCAAAGCTTTACTCAAGAATCATCAGATTCAGAGGCTAGGGAAATACTCTTTGTTCCTAGTTTTTCATAGCCATGGAAAGAATTGAGAGATAATTTAACCTACCCCAGTACAGTCTGTTCTATATATGGAAATGAGACTTAAAAACGACTTGTCCAAGATAATTTAATAGAGTATAGTAAGCAAAGTAACAGTCCAAATGTGTGATATCTCTTTTTTAAAAATTGTATTTCTATAAATTTGTGGGGTACAAGTACAATTTTTTTACATACATGGATTGCTTAGTGGTGAAGTTAGGGCTTTTAGGTTATCCATCACATGAATAATATACGTTGTTCTCTCTCCCTCTCCGTCTTTCTTTCTTTTCTTTCTTTTCTTTTCTTTCTTTCTTCTTTTTTGAGACGGAGCCTTACTCTGTTGCCAGGCTGGAGTGCAGTGGCAAGATCTCAGCTCACTGCAATCTCTGCCTTCTGGGTTCAAGAGAGTCCCCCTATCTCAGCCTCTTGAGTAGCTGGGATTACTTCACACCCAGCTAATTCTTTGCATTTTTAGTAGAGATGAAGTTTCACCATGTTGGCCAGGGTGGTCTTGATCTCCTGACCTCGTGATCCACCCACCTCGGCCTCCCAAAGTGCTAGGATTACAGGTGTGAGCCCCGCACCCAGCCTGAGTCTCCATTTTCAATCATTATACTCTCTACATCCGTGTGTACACACTATTTAGCTCCCACTTATAAGTGAGAACATATAATATTTGTCTTTCTGTGTCTGACTTGTTTCACTTAAGATAATGATCTCCACCTCCATCCATATTGCTGCAAAAGACATGATTTCTTTCTTTTTTGTGGCTGAATAGTATTTCATTGTGTATATATACCACATTTTCTTTATCTAGTTATCTGTTGATGGACACTGGTGTCCTCATTCCTGTTGTTTCCTGAGTTTGGGGTTAGAAGTTAGGATGGCACCAATAAGAGTAACTGAATGAAACCAGAAAATGAGGTGTGATTTTTAACTTTGTAGTACAGACCCAAATTTGATTTTATGCAACTTGTGAAAAAGATTGTATGGAAAGTATTTCCTGGGTCTGATAGCAAATTTGACAAAGTAAAATATTTCTTGGGTCTGATACCAAAATTGACAAAGTTGTATTCCATATTCTCTCTTCCCTCCACTTGTTCCCTCCTTCCTTTCTTTCAACTTTTATTGCTCTCTTTGGGCACCTTTCAGAACACTTTCTTTCTAAAATCTCATGCCTGCTAGCCATGTGATATGCCAGTGATTCTTTGGGAAGTCCTCACTTAAGTTTGCCATTCTGTTCCTAATTTGCTCTCACTCCTTTGCTCAGTTTAAGTACCTTGAGTGCTACAGATTTGGAGGGAATTTAAATGATTGGTATCAAGCAATTCATAGTGAAGGGTTCATAATGTAATTCATCATTTAAAATCCAAAATTAATTTCTAAGTAATCTAACTGCCTGATTTGTGGGAGCCTTAGGTAATTTTAGACTGTGTATCTAATTCCTTTTCCTGTCTCCTGTTTTCTGAGCAGTTTTAATGAAAGCTAGTAAGTGCTGGACCCTATAAAGCTTCTTAGAAAAGCTATATCCTCTATCAGGCTCAGTTAATATGCTGTAATGATGCAATATAAGAAAAACATCAAAGTTTCTGGTTTAACTAATTTACTTTAATGATAGTAGTAGAGGATTGTTACCTAGACTAGTTCATGGTAATGTGCTTTGTTCCCTATTTTCTTCCATTTCTTTCAATTCTTTTCTTCTCCATCCTTTTCTTAATAAAAGATTGTCCCAGCTAGCTTAGTCGAGATCTAAGAAACAGTAGCCTGTTTTTAAGATTCCTGAACTGATTTCCTTTCAGCAAACCCTAAAGGTTTAGACCACTAGGCCATACTGCCTCCCTAAAGCTTAACTGGGCCATAGCATGGAAGCTAACAATATCAGACAGTCAACACTAGGCAATAAAGTCTAGGGACATTTTACGAATAAGCTGAATGTCATCTGTTTTTAATAAAATCTTATGTAAATCATATCGTGTAGTTGATGTTTTTCACTTCCATAATCTTAAATATTAACTTTTCTTTCCCAATCTTTTCCTTAAAATAAATTACAGTTTGTGCAGTAGCAGTAAGGAATTGCTTGGAGTGTCAACAGCATTCACAACTGAAAACTAGGGGAGAGAAAGCCTTGAAAACAATACATAGCCTTATTCCCTTAGGGAAATCTGCAGCGAAGGTAAGTATACAGATTAATTAATTTTCAAAAAGCATACTCCTGTTTTACAATTAAGATTTTTATTTGCTCATTTCAACATAAAGTTAAATAAATCTGGCAGAGATTAAAATAGTTACTTTAGGCCTGGACATAACATTCAAATATTTGTGTTTAAATATACAATAAAGACTTGTTTATACTTAATCTTGTCTCCTTTTCCCAATGTTTACTTTTCTTGTTTCTGTGATGCCTTTTCCTTCAAATATGTCATTTTTTTCCTGTATGCCATCTTTCTCCACCTCTCTCCCCAACCCCTCAAAGGAGAAAGAAGCATACACACAAAGTGGGGAAAGGAATGCTATAACTTTGCTTTTCTGGTTCTTGGAATACTGTGTTTGTTTTTAAAGTATATCTGTGTAATGTGTATATGTGTATATATATACTTTTTTTTTAATCTTAAATAGAGCCCAGTGGACATTGTGACTGGCGGTATATCTCCAGTAAGAGATCTTGACAGGCTTCTACAGGACATGGATATTAATCGACTTAGGGCAGTTGTTTTCAGAGACATAGTAAGTTACAATATTTCTTTCACATACTCTCTTAACTGTTCCATATTTCCTCTTAGGCCTAATATATTGAGATTAAAAATTCTTTGTAATATCAAATAGTGTAGCAGAGATAGAAAGGTCTAGAAACCAGTTCTTTTGACAATGATTTTAGAAACAATGACAATGATTAGAAAGGATAGTTCATATAAAGGGAGTTAGTAGATCAGTGTAATGATATTAAAAGGAATAATGCATTATTACATAGTCAGCGGTCTAAGTACTATACATGTATTCATTAAGTCCAACAACTTCTTGAGCTGTACTATTGTAATTTCCATTTTATAGATGAATAATCTGAGGCACATAGAGCTTGAGTAACATCTCTAAGCTAATGTTGATAAACAGTGATAAAATCAGGATTCAAACCTAGCAGTCTTAATTCTAAAATTGATGCTCTGAATGTAATAAAATGTTCAACTTCTGAGTGGCATGTTATTTTACTGAATATTGGATATTTTTTCCTCAAAGGTATACTAATGTGATAAAAAGGTGCATGATGAAATGTTGCTCTCAGTTTGATGTTTCTGATTTTTTAAAGATGAAAAACAGTTTTGTTTCAGCTGATTTTGATAGAAAACATTGCTAAATCTTATGTAGAAAATTTAAAGTCATATAGAAAATATAAAGGTGGAAGTAAAAATAATTTGTAATTGCACTCATCAGCATTTGGAATATTATCATTAGTAAATATTTGTTGAACACTTACTATATGTTTTACATATATATTTCTTATAAACTTTCTAACCTCAATTTTTCTTTTTCCCCTCCCTTTGTTTTTCAATAGTTTGGTTCTCTTTAGTTCTTGACTAGGTTTTTATACACATGTAGAATTTGGAGTATTAACAGTACTTAATAGTATTGAATACTTACTGTGTATTAAACATAATACTGGATGCTCTTATCAGGGGTCCCCAACCCCCAGACCACTGATAAGCACCTAGGCTGCACAGCAGGAGGTGAGATGAGCAGAGGGTGAGGAGTGAAGCTGAGCTCCGCCTCCTGTCAGATCAGCAGGAGCATTAGATTCTCATAGGAGCATGATCCCTATTGTGAACTGTGCATGCGACAGATCTTGGTTGTGCGCTCCTTATGAGAATCTAGTTATAAATGTAATGCACTTGAATCATCCTGAAACCATACCCCCTACCCCCACCCCGCCTCTTACCCCCGACAGGTCCATGGAATAATTGTCTGCTATGAAACCAGTCCCTTGTGCCAAAAAGGTTGGGGACCGCTGCTGTATATGTATGTTTAATTCTCACAATAATTCTATGAGGGAGTTAGCAATATTTAAGTAATGTGCTTAAGATTATACAATTAGTGAGAGGTGAAAGTGAGTTTAGGACTTAGGGAATTTGATTCTTGAAATTTTGATCTTAACTAAAAGGCTATACTACCTTCTTAGATCTCAGTTCTCTAGTAGCTGTTATTATTCCTTTAATTAAGAAGCCATCAACTTTCTTTTCCCCCTGGAATCCTTTGAATGTGGTCAATTTGAGGACCAAATGTTGCTGTTTTCTCCTCTGTTCACTTATTTTCCATTTGGCAGGTTCTGAGTCTATTGTCCATTAACTTTATATTTCCTAGAATGATCTTTAAAAATCTAGAATAGAATTAGCCACATGTGGTAGCACATGCCTCTAGTCCTAGCTACTTGGGAGGCTGAGTTGGGGAGGATCGCTTGAGCCTAGGAGGTCGAGGTTACTGTGAGCTATGATTGTGTCTCTACATTCCAGCCTAGGCGACAGAGCGAGACCCTGTCTCTTAAACAAATAAACAAACTGGAATAGATGATGTTACTATTTTTCTTTCAGAATTCTCTAATAGCATCTTTTAGTGGTTAAATGGAATCCGGACTCTTCACAGTGCCTCTGGATAATTTGGCTCTTGTAAAACCTTCTAACCAGTTATTATATTACAATATTCTGCAAACAGAATTAGAATATCTCTTTTAATGATTATTTAGTGATAAATATATCACTAAATAAGTGATCAATTATTTAGTGATAAATAATTTTAAGTATTTTGTAATTATAAAAGTTATATAATCACCTTATAGGAGTTTTAGAAAAAAAGAAAACACTATATTTTACATGCTAGAGTTTAGCCTCTTTAGGGAACAAAAGGAACCTTTGATGAAAAAGGAAATGACTGGCTGGGCACGGTGACTCAGGCCTGTAATCCCAGCACTTTGGGAGGCTGAAGCGGGCGGATGACAAGGTCAGGAGATCGAGACCATCCTGGCTAACACGGTGAAACCCCATCTCTACTAAAAAATACAAAAAACTAGCCGGGCGAGGTGGCAGGCGCCTGTAGTCCCAGCTACTCGGGAGGCTGAGGCAGGAGAATGGCGTAAACCCGGGAGGCGGAGCTTGCAGTGAGCTGAGATCCGGTCACTGCACTCCGCCTGGGCAATAGAGTGAGACTCTGTCTCAAAAAAAAAAAAAAAAAAAATTTAAAAAATAGAAAGAAAAAAGGAAATGACCTAAGATCGAGGACATAAAGAAATTTCTACCTTGAGGCTAAGAGCTAAGGTTTTTAATCACCCTAATCTGAGTTCAGATTTGCTTTTTTACATACTATATGTCCTTAAGTAAGTTGCTTCTCTACGCCTTATCTTGTTCAAGTTTGCTAATAAAAATATATGTGAAATACATAACACAGTGCCTGGCATACAGTAAATATTCAATAAATGACAGCTACAATGGAAAGAAAATTCATTTCAGGAGTTAGGATTTAAATGTAAAAGATTTATGGGATATTTTTTATTTGAGGCCAAAAATCGGGCATATACTGTAAACTTCATGTGGTAGTTAGTAAACATTGAACATATTAATGGGCTAAATAAGGATTTAGATTGGCATAACTAATTTATAACGGACTATGAAGTTAAGGACAAGTAAATTATTTGTCTGCATTTTGAATATTAATGTCATTAGCAGCAGTTATTAGATGGCAGAATTGTGTGGCAGAAGAACATGGCTATGTCTAGAGAAAAGGGGTGGTTTATAAAAAGGACAAATGGACCTTTATTTTTTCCAACAGACTAAGAAGTCATTACACATGAACCTGCAAAATACCATATATTTTGTCAGATCATGAATTGCAAATATGTTGAAGAATTGCATCAAGTGGATATGTTCAAATCAAGCCTATCTTCTGTTTCTCTGAAATTGATTATATCCAAATTTTTTGACATTAAGTATTAACTATTAGTCTCATTTTTACCATTAGCTTCCATTTACAGACATGCCTCATTTTATTGTGCTTTGTTATTGCACATTGCTGATTACTGGATTTTTTTACAAATTGATGCTTTTTGGCAACCCTGTGTCGAGCTAGTCTATCTGTGCTATTTATCCAACAGCATGTGCTTACTTTATGTCTTTATGTCATATATTGGTAATTCTTACAATATTTAAAACCTTTTCATTATTATTATTTATCTGTTATGGTGATCTGTCATCAGTGATCTTTGGTGGTACTATTGCAATTGTCTTGGGACACCACAAACCACACCCATTTAAGACAGTGAACTTAATAAATGTCTGACTGTGCTACGAACTGGCCATTCCCATCTCTCCCCTTCTCCTTGGGAGGGGCCATTCCCCTGTCTCTCTATTCCCTGAAACACAGCAATATTGCAATGAGGTCAATTAATAGCCCTACAATGGCCTCTAAGGGTTCAAGAGAAAGGAAAAGTTGCATGTCTCTCACTTTAAATAAAAAGCTAGAAATGATTATGCTTAGTGAAGATGATATATCAAAAGCTGATACAGGTCAAAAGCTGGGCTTCTTGTGCCAAACATTTAGCCAAGTTGTGAATGCAAATGCAAAGTTCTTAAAGGAAATTAAAAGTAAACGATTACTCCAGTGAGCAAATGACTGATAAGAAGTAAAACAGCTTTGTACTGTTGAGTTGAAGGAAGGTTTAGTGGTCTGTATAAAAGATCAAACTAGCCACGCTATTTGCTTAGGCCAAAGCCTATTTCAGACAAGGCTCTAACTCTCTTCAATTCTGTAAAGGCCGAGAGAAGTGAGGAAGCTGCAGAAGAAAAGTGAAGCTAGTTTAAGGAAAGTTTAAGGAAAGAAGCTGTCTCCATAACAGAAAAGTACAAGGTGAAGCACTAAGTTCAGAAGAGCTAGGTAAGAAACTGATGAAGGTAGCTACTAAGCAACAGATTTTCAACGTGGACAAAACACCTTTTATTGGAAGAAGATACCATCCTACAACGTTCCTAGCTACCAGGAAGTCAAGCCTGGCTTCAGTGTTACCAGGGACAGGCTGATTCTCTTGTTAGGGACTAATACAGCTGGTGACTTGAAGTTAAAGCCAATGCACATTTATCATTCTGAAAATCCTGGGACCCTTAAGAATTATGCTAAATCTACTCTGCCTGCACGCTGTAAATGGAATGGCAAAGCCTGGGTAATAGTGCATCTGTTTACGGCATGGCTTACTGAATGTTGTAAGCCCACTATTGAGACCTGTTTGAAGAAAAGAGTCTTTTCAAATTATTACTGCTCATTGATAATAAACCTGGTCACCCAAGAGCTCTGATCAGATATACAAGGAGGTTCATGTTATTTTCTTGCTTGTTAGTGAAATATTCATTTTGCAGTTCGTGGATTAAGAGTCATTTTGACTTACTATTTAAGAAATACTTCGTCTTATTATTTAAGACATAAATTTTATTAGACTGTAGCTGCTACAGATAGTAATTCCTTTGATGGATCTGGGCAAAGTGAATGAAAAATCTTCTGGAATTGATCCACTATTGTAGATAACCATGAAGAACCCATGTGATTCACGGGAAGAAATCCATGTATCAGTGTTAGCAGGAGTTTGGAAGAAACTGATTCCAATTCTCATGGATGACTTTGAGGAGTTCATGATTTCCATGGAGTAAGTCACTGCTGATGTGGTGGAAATAGCAAGAGAATCAGAAAGAGAAGCAGAGCCTAAACATGTGATTGAATTGCTACAATCTCATGATAATACTCCAACAAATGAAGACTTGCTTCCTACGGATAAGCAAAGAAAGTGGTTTCCTGCAATGGAATCCACTCACGATGAAGATACTGTGAACATTGTTGAAATGATAACAAAGGATTTAGAATATACCTAAATGTGTTTGATAAAGCATTGATAGGGTTCAATCCTGTGAGTAAAATGATATCGAACAGCATTGCTTGCTACAGAAAAATCTTTTGTGAAAAAAAGATTCAGTTACTGTGGCAAAGTTTGTTGTCTTATTTTAAGAGATTGCTACAGTTACCACCCTCACCCATCAGTCAACATCCATGAACTTGGAGACACGACCTTCTACTAGCAAAAAGATTGTGACTCACTGAAGGGTCAGATAATTGTTAGCATTTTTATACAATAAAGTATTTTTAAATGAAGGTATGTGCATTTTTTTAGATATAATGCTGTTATACAATTAATAGATTACAGTGTAGTGTAAATGTAACTTTTATATACACTCGGAAACCAAAATACTTGTGTGACTCACTTTATTGTGATAGCCACTTTATTGCAGTGGTCCGGAACTAAACCTGTGGTATTTCCATAGTATGCCTATATTTATCTGATAGGGAACAGTGTTCTTCATGTTCTTATTTAAAATTTTAAATTTACCTTCTGCTTGAGCCTTTGCTTTTCAGAGTTTGATGCATAACCTTGAGTTTTTTCTTTAAATTAACAAGTTCAAACCTATTTGGGAAAGTTAGTAGAATAGTGATGTGGGTAGGTTCTCCTTAAAGATGGGGAATTTGACTAGATGAAGAGGTCAGTGATATACAGATATATAGGTGACCTGTAGAGCTAGAATGGAGCCTAGGCCCTTCAAGAGGTCAGTCTAATTTGTCTGCTTTCTCATACTTTATTTTTAATCCTGATACATAGTTGTTTGTACTGTTTAAAATACTCTCAAGAATTCCTTTGTGGTCAGGTGTGGGAGCTCACACCTATAATCCCAGTGCTTTGGGAGGCCAAGTCAGGAGGATTGCTTGAGGCCAGGAGTTCGAGACCAGCCTGAGCTACATAACAAGAACCTGTCTCTTCAAGAAATTAAAAAACAAAAATTAACTGTGTGTGGTGGTGTATTCCTGTAGTCCTAGCTACTTGGGAGGCTGAGGCGAGAAGATCTCTTGAGCACAGGAGTTCAGGGGTACAGTGAGCTATGATTGTGCCATTGTACTGCAACCTGTGCGATGGAGTAGGACCCTGTCTCAAACAAGAAAAGAAGGAATTCCTTTGGCATCATATTCTGTATCTAATGGCTTCTTTTTTTTTCCTCCTACATGTTTATTTTTTAGCACTTTTATTGTGATATTTTATGTATTTTAGCTTTTATGATTATAGATAAAAATAACCAGTTATCCTCATATCATTATGTATGTATGTACGTATATATGTATGTATGTATGTATATATTGAGATGGAGTCTTACTCTGTCACCAAGACTGGAGTGCAGTGATGCGATCTCGGCTCACTGCAACCTCTGCCTCCTGGGTTCAAACCATTCTCCCACCTCAGGCTCCTGAATAGCTGGGATTACAGGCATGTGCCACCACACCTGGCTAATTTTTATATTTTTAGTAGAGATGAGGTTTCACTATATTGGCCAGGCTGGTCTCAAACTCCTGATCTCAAGTGATCTGCCTGGTTTGGCCCCCCCAAAGTACTGGGATTACAGGTATGAGCCACTGCATCTGACCTGTTTTCATAGAGTTATAATGACTATTTGTTTGATTAACATTATAATGTGTATTAGGATATATGTCTTTAGATTGAATAATTTTTAAAAATGAGCTAGCTTCTCTCCATATTTTGCAAGTATAAAACCTCTCATTTAAAGACATTTCTCTAAGAGCCTTTGCCTAATGTTTACTCAATAAGTTTGTTAATAAATTTATTATTTATATAGGTATGTATTTTCTGTGTATACTGAAAGATTTGTGAACATGTTTTGTATTTAAACGTTGTGATGTAAAATGTAATTATGTTATTTTATGGTTACATAATCAACTTCTTTAATTTTTTTTTCCCAGGAGGATAGCAAACAAGCTCAATTTTTAGCCTTGGCAGTAGTATACTTTATCTCTGTTCTTATGGTCTCCAAGTACAGAGACATTTTGGAACCCCAAAATGAAAGGCATAGCCAGTCATTTACGGAAACTGGCAGTGAAAATGGGAATGTATCACTCTCTGGTAAGTTTGCATTTTCTATTCCTTTGTACCAGATTTCAAATAAATGTTACTTACTTTTGATGGTTAAAATATTGATATTGGAATTTAAATCCATTTATGTGTTAATTAAGTGAGAGCATACATATATTTTTATTATTAACTAAATGTTTTGGCTTAAATATTGTGTAATTAATTGCAACTGGGATTTTTTTTTGTTCTTTAAATGAACCATCTAATTAAAGGTAAGTCAGAAAATGGTATCTTATACAAATAAAGAGTGGAAAAATTTTATTGACTTAATTTGCTATGAAGAATCACTAACTCATATTCTCTTACAAGAGACAGACTTGTTAACAAGTAACTGCAATAACTGGAGTTTTAAAAGTAGCTGCCAGTTATAAAAGTATAGTTAGTAAAGTAGCTGTTGCAGTTATAGAAGTAGCTGCCACCCAAAGGAGGCAATTTATTATTCACTAGACATTCATTCAATATCTACTGGATACTTGGGTATATATTCATGACTAAAACAAAACAAAAAAAATATGTCCTTACGGAGCTTACATTCTAATGGGAGGAGATAAAAAATATGTACATGTTATAAGTAAATTGTATAGTATTTTAGAAGGTGGTAAAAGTGCTTAAAAAAAAGAAAAGGGAAAATAATAAGCAGAGTAAAAATATAAGGAATGACCAGGAGTTCTTGGGTATGGATTTTTCTCTGAGGGAAATGAGAGCTCATTGGAGGGTTTTGAGTACAGTAGTTATAGTTTATGTTTTTAAAAGTACCTCTGGGCTGGGCGTGGTGGCTCACACCAGTAATCTCAGCACTTTGGGAAGCTGAGGCAACTGGATCACATGAGGTCAGGAGTTGGAGATCAGCCTGGCCAACATGGTAAAACCCTATCTCTACTGAAAATACAAAAAATTAGCCGGGCGTGGTGGTGGGTGCCTGTAATCCCAGCTACTTAGGAGGCTGAGGCAGAAGAATCTCTTGAACCCTTGAACCTGGGAGGCAGAGGTTGCAGTGAGCAGAGATCCCACCACAGCACTCCAGCCTGGGTGACAGAGTGAGACTCCATTTCCAAAAAAAAAAAAAAAAAGGTAACTCTATATCCTGTGTAGAGGATATAGAGGGCAAGGATAATCAGTGTCAGATACTGCTGTTTACTACCTTACCCTGCAGCTTGGTGGCTTAAGACCATAACCATTTTAATCTTTCTTACATGATTCCTTGAGTTATATTTGGATAGGGCACAGTGGGCATGGTTTATCCCTGTTTCAGATGTTGTTTGCTGGGTCTGGAAAATCTAAGATGACTTTTCTAATAGTGTATGTAGTGCCTCAGGTGGGATGGCTCCAAGAACTGAGACTGACTGACTAAAACAGCTGAGCTGGGATTATATATCTATAGCCTTGATACTTGTTCTCAAATGAATTCCTGGTTTCCTTCATTAGTTTGGAGAGCATCTCTGTCTCCATATCATCTCTCTACATGTTCTTTCCAGCAAGGTAGATCAGAAATAAGCCACACTTCTTACAGAGATGTTCAGAGATTCTGGGATTGCAAGAGCTACCAGACCTTCTTAAAATGCGGGCCAAGCACTGGCCCACTGCTGCTTTTGCCAGATCCTGTTGGTTATTGTCAGTCAAGCCTAGTCTAGATTCAAGGGCTTATCAAGGGATGAGTACCAGGAGACATGGGGCAGTAGGATTATTGAAACAACCCTCCTCCACAACCAGTTAGGAGGATATTGCAGTAATCAGTAATCCAGGCAAGAGGTTATGGTGGGATGGATTAGGTTGGCAACTAGAGATGGTGAGAGGCAGTCAGATTCTGGATATGTCTTAGTGGTAGAAAAAACAGAACTTTAAAACATTAGGTGTGCGTTTTGTGAATGAAAAAGGTAGTCAAAAATGATTACAAGGTACAGTGGAGTAGATTAAAGGTGAAAGAGATTTTCAGGGAAAGATAAAAAGAGAAGAAATTCAGTTTTCAGCATGTTGAGTTTGAGATGTTTTTTAGACATGTAAGATAAGTTGTAGGCCAGCAGTTGTATTTAATAGTTTGACTTTTTTGGTGGGGGGTATAGTGGTATTTAAAAGTTGGAGAATGAATGATATCACGAAGGGACCAAATGTAGATAGAGAACATAAGAGAAACAAGGACTGAGCCTTGTGTCCCTCCAGCTTAAGAAATCAGGGAGAAAAAGAGGTGACAGATGTTAAAAAGGAACAATCACTAAGGTAGTACAAGGAGAACAAAAAGAGAATGGTGTCCTGCAAGCTGAGGAAAGGAAGCATTGTCTAGTTGGAGGGAATAATTAGCTGCTGCTGTTATGTGAAGTTCTGTTAGGACTGAAAACTGACCATTGGAGTTAGCAAGATGCAGATTTTTTGGTGACCTTGATAAGACCATTTTTGCAAGAATGGGTTGAAACCCTGATTAAAGGGAGTGAGAATTAAACAGAGAGAAAAGGAGGCATTCCTCGTTGAACTGGATTTTAAGGATCATTGAATTATTTATGCTTGTAGAAGAGGTAACAAGTTTTCCAGCTGCAGTAACCATGTTTTAGGTAGAGCTTTTTATTTTATCCTAAAGATTGTGGACTTGGGCCAGGCGTGGTGGTGCATGCCTGTAATCCTAGCACTTTGGGAGGCCTAGGCTGGTAGATTGCTTGAGCTCAGGAGTTCGAGACTAGCTTGGGCAACATGGTGAAACCTCATCTCTACAAAAAAATAGAAAAATTAGCCAGATGTGTGGCACACACCTGTGGTCTCAGCTACTTGAGAGGCTTAGGTGGGAGGATAGCCTAGGATGTCAAGGCTGCAGTGAGCCTAGATCACAGCACTGTACTCCAGCCTGGGCAACAGACACACACACACACACACACACACACACACACACACAGATTGCAGACTTTTTCTTATAGGCCAATGACTTTCGACCTTGTATTGCTACCCATTACTTTAGGTAATTTTTGCAAGTATTTATTTATTTTATTATACCATGTCTCTTGATAATAGGTGTATCCACTCAGTACATTTTATAGAATATATAATTAGTTTTTGCTCGTTTAGAACATGATGTATTTCATAATTCAAAACAGTAGATAGCTATTAGGATTGAATATACCTTTTAAAAATTGGTTCTAAATTTTTGTTTATTTTTTCTGTTTCTGGGTGTGATATAGAAATCACACCAGCAGCATTCAGCACTTTAACTATGGCATCAGTGGAAGAATCTGAAAGCACATCATCTGCTCGAAGGAGGGACTCAGGCATTGGGGAAGAAACAGCCACTGGTTTAGGAAGCCATGTGGAAGTAACTCCTCACACAGCACCTCCTGGAGTCAGTGCAGGCCCAGATGCAATCAGCGAGGTGCTATCTACTCTTTCTTTAGAAGTCAATAAGTCTCCGGAAACCAAAAATGACAGAGGAAATGAGTTGGACGCTAAGGCTACGCCGTCAGTTTCGGTTTCAAAAAATGTCAATGTGAAAGACATTCTCCGAAGCTTGGTTAACATACCAGCAGATGGAGTCACAGTGGATCCTGCCCTTCTGCCACCAGCCTGCCTTGGAGCCCTTGGTGATCTGTCTGTGGAACAACCTGTGCAGTTCAGATCTTTTGACAGGTACTGAAAATAGGTTTTCATTTTGGTATGTTTCTACATCTGACCCTTGAACAACATGGAGATTAGGGATGCTGACCCCCTGTGTAGCCAAAAATCTGCATATAACTTTCTACTCCCTCAGAACTTAACTTCCAATAGCTTATGTTGATCAGAAACTTTACTGATAACATAAACAGTTGATTCACACATATTTTGATTATTATATGTATTATATACTGTACTCTTACAGTAAAGTAAGCTAGAAAAAAAGAACATGTTATTAAGAAAATCATAAGAAAGGCCAGGTGCAGTGGCTCACATCTGTAATCCCAGCATTTTGGGAGGCTGAGGTGGGTGGATCACCTGAGGTCAGGAGTTCGAGACCAGCCTGACCAACATGGTGAAACCCAGTCTCTACTGAAAATACAAAAATTAACTGGGCATGGTGGCGTGTGCCTGTAATCCAGGCTACTCCAGAGGCTGAGGTAGGAGAATCGCTTGAACCTGGGAGGGGCGGAGGTTGCAATGAGCTGAGATCGCACCATTGCATTCTCACCTGGGCAACAAGAGCGAAACTCTGTCTAAAAAGAAAAAAATCATAAGAAGAAATATGTTACTGTTCATCAGGGGAAGCAAATCATCATAAAGATCTTCATGTTTCTTGTCTTCATGTTGAGTATGCTGAGGAGGAGGAAGAGAAGAGGTTGATTTTAGTATCTCAGAGGCAGCTGAGGTAGCAGAGGTGGAGAAAGTGAAAGGGAAAGCAGGACAGGCAGACACACTTGGTGTAAATTTACAGAAATGCATTGTAATTTCTTTCTGACCTTTTTGCTTTTTTATTTGTCTACACATATTTCTATGTGGTACAAACCCTTCTTTCACCATTTGCTTTAGTTTCAGTGCCTGTGTCATAGAAGGGTCCATGTCATAAAAGAAGTTAAAAGCAGTCTTGAATCATTAGAACCCTTCTGCCAGATTGTCTAATGTCAGTTCATTTTCTGGTACTGCTTCTTCTATGTCTTCCTCATCTGATAGTGGTTTGGATATTCTTGTTTCCATCAAGTTGTTTTCCCTCTATTGATCCCTCTGTTGTTGTGGTATCTGTTAGTTCTTCAATTTCTCCAAGATTCATATCTTGAAACCCTTCACCCCTCACCTTTTTGTCATATCTACAATCTCTCATGATTTCCTTCATTAGTTCTGTCAGAAATCCTGTGAAGTCATGCACAACACCTAGACACAGTCTTCTCTAGGAAGAATTTATTCAAACTTGATGGTTTCCACAGCTTTTTCTATAACAATGATCTTAAATGGTATAATCCTTCTAGACTTTTATGATGTTCTGTCAGGTTCTCTTCCATAGTGTTGACAGTTGTTTCCTAAGAATACCATGTGTAATGAACCATAAAGGTCCTTGTGACCTCCTGTTCTAGAGGTGGAATTAGAGAAATTGTGTTTGAGGGCAGTTAGACCACTTCAACACCGTCAGTGTTGAACTCATGAAGTTCTGGGTGGTCAGCGGCATTGTCCAATAGCAAAAGAACTTTAAAAGTTAATCTCTTACTGATAAGGTGATAAAGTACTTCCTGACTTTAAGGACAAAGTTTCAATGGAACCAATCCAGAAAAAGGGTTCTCGTTGGCCAGGCCTTCTTGTACAACCAACAGAGTTGCAGCTGGTGTTTGTGTTTTCCTTTCATGGCTCAGGGGTTAGCAGCTTTATATTAATAGATAAGGGCAATCGTGATCATAAACCCAACTGCATTTGCACAAAACAATATAGTTAGCCTATCTCTTCCTGCCATAAATCCTAGTGCTCACTTCTCTTCCTTGCTAATAAGTATCCTTTGTGGCTTCCCCCACCTACCCCAAATAAGTTACTTTTGTCTGCATTAAAAACCTGATCAGGCTGATCCTTTCTCCTCAATGTTTTTCTTAATGATGTCTAGGAACTCAGCTGCTGCCTCTTGGTTGGCAGAAGCTGCTTATCCTGTTATCTCGATCATCCTTGCTGGCATTAAATTTAGCTTTAGATTCTTCTTTAAGTTGACATATAATGACTTCAGTTTTTCTCAAATCATGTTAGAGTCTATAAGTATGCCTTTCTTATGGCAAACCTGCATCCGCGTAAAAGCTGCATTTTCAGTGCAAGATAAAGATATTTCACAAAAAATGCATTTTTTTTTTCCCGCCTCCTGGTGTCACTGCAGTAACAACTTTGCCAACTTCCTTTTCTTTTGTTACAGTGGTCCTTATGCTGGATTAATTTCTTTGGAAATGGCAGGCAACCACAGCTGCAGACCTCAATCTACAGTACATATCAAGCAATTCAACTTTTTCTTATAATGTCATGACTTTTCCCTGCTCCTTGGGAGCATGTCCAGTATTGCTAGTGGCACTTTGTATGGGTCCCATTATGTTATTAAAGGTTTATAGTATTGCACTAAACATGATGAAAAATATGTGAGAACTCGGAGAGATCACTTTTGCTGTGATACACAGTTTACTGGAGAGGTGAACTTCCCAGTACTTTGGGAGGCTGAGGCGTGTGGATCATTTGAGGTCAGCATTTCCAGACTAGCCCGGCCAACATGGTGAAACCCCATATCTACTAAAAATACAAAAAGATTATCCAGGCATGGTGGCGGGTGCCTGTAATCCCAGGTATTTGGGAGGCTGAGGCAGGAGAATCACTTGAACCTGGGAAGCAGAGGTTGCAGTGAGCCAAAATCGCGCCGTTGCACTCCAGTCTGGGCAACAAGAACAAAACTCCTCACCCCGTCCCCAAAAGAAAAGAGAGGAACTGTGTTCTCTGAGATGACTAGCATCACACAGCATTTTAAGTGATGCTCACAGTACTGGAGCTCAATGCAATTGTGGCAGGAAGTAGCTATGAAGTTATTATAGTAGTACAGTACGGATTAATGTTAATTTTATACAGTTTTGCTTTAATAATTGACATTTACATTGTTTACATTTCTTTTAACTGCAGATGGTACCATATAATATTTCTAAGTGTTTGTGTGTGTAAGTTTTGATATATTTTAACTTATTTTCATAACCTCTGAGATTTTTCATTTTATGAATTTCTTTTTTTCTTTTTGTCTGGATGCAGTGGCTCACACCTGTAATTCCAGCATTTTGTGGGGCTGAGGTGGGAAGATTTCTTGAGTCCAGGAATTTGAGACTAGCCCGGGCAACATGGTGAGATTTTAAAATAAAAAGATTAGCTGGGCATGGTGATGTGTGCCTGTAGTCTCAGCTACTCAGGAGGCTGAGGTGGGAGGATCACTGGAGCCCAAGGAGTTTGACACTACAGTGAGCTGTGTTCATGCCACTGCACTCCAGCCTGGGTGACAGAGTAAGACCCTGTCTAAAAAAAACTCTTTTAAAATTGATGCATAATGAGTGGAATTTATTCTGGGGATGCAAGAATGTCTGAACATACACAAATTGATCAATGTGAAACATATCACTAGGATGGAAGACAAAAGCCATATGATCATTTCAATTACTGCTGAAAAGCATTTGATAAAATTCACTATTTCTTCATGATAAAAACCCTCAAAAAACTGCATATAGAGGGAACATACCTCAACACAATAAAAAGCCGTAAACAACAGATCCACAGCTGGTATCATTTGGAACAGAGAAAAACTTAAAGCCTTTTCTCTAAGATCTGGAATGAAACAAGGATGCCCACTTTCATTACTGTTATTCAACATAGTACTGGAGGTCCTAGGTAAAGCAATCAGATGAGAAAGAAAGGGCATTTAAATTGGAAATGAAGAAGTCAGTTGTTTGCAGATGATATGATCTTATATTTAGAAAAACCTAAAGATTCCGTAAAAAAGTATTATAACTGATAAATTCAGTACAGTTGCATGACAAAAATCGGTATCATTTCTATATGCTAACAGTGAACAATCTGAAAAAGAGATCAAGAAAGCAATCCAATTTACAATAGCTATAAGTAAAATACCTAGGAATAAACAGCCAAAGAAGTGAAAGATCCCTCAGTGACAGCTATAAAACATTGATGCAAGAAACTAAAAAGGACCCCCAAAATGAAAGATATTTCATGTTCATGGATTGGAAGAATTAGTAGTGTTAAAATGTTCATGCTACCCAAAGCGATCTACAGATTCAATGCAATCTATGTAAAAATACCAATGACATTCTTCACAGAAATAGAAAAAATATTGCTAGAAACTATATGGAACCACAGAGAGAATAGCCAAAGCCATCCTGAGCAAAGAGAACAAAATTTCAAATTATACTACAGAGCCGTGGTAACCAAAACAGCATGATACTCTCATAAAAACAGATACATAGACCAATGGAACAGAATAGAGAACTCAAATAAATCCACACATCTACAAATGAACTCATTTTTGACAAAGTTGCCAAGAACATGCAATGGGGGAAAGGACAGTCTTCTCAATGGTACTGAGTAAATTGTATGTCCATATGCAGAAGAATGAATACCTTTATCTCTTGCTACATACAAAAATCAGTTCAAAATGGATTAAAGATTTAAATCTATGACCTGAAACTATGAAGCTACTGAAAGAAATCATTGGAAAAACTCTTCAGGACATTAATCTGGGGAGATTTCTTGAGTAATACCCCAAAAGCATAGGCAGTGAAAGCAAACATGGGCAGATGAGATCACATCAAGCTACAGAACTTATGCATAGCAGAGAAAACAGTCAACAAATTGAAGAGACAACCCACAGACTGGGAATTATATAATAACCTTATATATTCTGGTTAACTGACAAGGGTTTTAATAACCAGAATATATAAGGGACTCAACCAACTCTATAGGAAGAGATGTATTAATAATAATTTAAAAATATTACTAAATTTTAAATGATTTATCATTTAATGTTTAAATGATAACTTTAAAATTTATTACTAAATTTTAAATTAAATGATAACTTTAAAAATTTAATTAAAATGATAAATGATAACTTTAAAATGATGACTATTGGGCTAAAGATCTCAATAGACATTTCT